CATTTTGGTGTGCCGTCAGAAGCCGGCATAGGCTCGCGGCACTGCTCACATTTTTTAAAGCCTGAGGAGGCTGACATAGTTCGGGAGATTCTTATTTTCTTACACTGTTGATGTTTTCAGAGTTTTATTTATTTGTGACTGTTGTTATAGTCCTTTCTTTCTCTTTATGTGGTTTATTTGTTTTTCCAGCTGAGAAGCCGAGAGAGGCGAATTTCAATCCCCGAAGGGAGATATTGTCAGTTTCGTTCTTTTTATAAAAGAAAAAATTTTGTTGTTGTAATTATTTTAGAGAGAAACAAGGAAAAAAACTAATTTGGAATATAAGAGTGGAAAAACAAGTTTGCGGAGGACACTACGCTAGGGGGAGATGTGGCTATGTTGGCGGGCAGGGATAGAGTCCAGAGTGACAGGGTTAGAGGATTGGGCCAAAAGAAATCTGATGAGTTTCAACAAGGACAAGTGAAAAGTCCTGCACTTGAGATGAAGAAACCCAAGCCTTGCTGCAGGCTGGGGACCAACTGGTTAGGCAGCAATTTGGCAGAACAGGACCTGGGGATTACAGCTGAATCTGAGTCAACAGTGCGCCCTGGTAGCCAAGAAGGGTAGTGGCACATTAGGGGGCATTAGGAGCATTTCCAGCAGATCTAGAGAAGTGATTGTTCCCCTTCATTCAGCACTGGTGAGGCCACATCTGGAGTTTTGCTTCCAGTTATGGGCTTCCCATTACAGAGGGGAGGTGGACTCATTGGAGAGGGTCCAGCAGAGGGCAACAAAATGATGAGGGGTCTGGACCATATGACTTATGAGGCGAGACTGAGGGTATGTCTACACTAGAAAGTTAGTTCGAACTAACTTTCCTATGCGCTACACTAGCGCTTCGCTAGTTCGAATTTGAATCGAACTAGCGGAGCGCTTAGTTCGAACTAGGTAAACCTCATTTTACGAGGACTAACGCCTAGTTCGAACTAGCTAGTTCGAACTAGGCGTTAGTCCTCGTAAAATGAGGTTTACCTAGTTCGAACTAAGCGCTCCGCTAGTTCGATTCAAATTCGAACTAGCGGAGCGCTAGTGTAGCACCTATTAAAGTTACGTTAGTTCGAACTAACTTTGTAGTGTAGACATACCCAGAGAGATATATTTAGACATTTACTTTTGAAAATTTAAGAAGACCACATGGCTATGTCTACACAGCAGTGTTATTTCGGAATAACGTAAGTTAGTCCAAAATAACAAAGAGGGGAGCTTGCCCTGGACCGCAGGAGGCGGGCACCTTCCTGGGCTAGTGCGGACATCGTGGACCTCGTCCACGATCTCTGCACTAGGCACAGGAAAGTGGCCGTCTAGGGCAGGAGAGCTGCCAGCCTGGCCACCCAGGACCAGGTGTGCATGAAAATCAAGGGGGTCCACTGAGACCCCCGACACTGAGCCCTGAGCTTACAATGGCCGTACTGGGTCAGACCAAAGGTCCATCTAGCCCAGTAGCCTGTCTGCCAACAGCGGCCAACCCTAGGGACCCTGGAGGGGATGGACCGAAGACAGTGATCAAGCCATTTGTCTCGTGCCATCCCTCTCCAGCCTTCCACAAACTTTGGGCAGGGACACCACTCCTACCCTCTGGCTAATAGGACTCCATGGACCCAACCTCCATGACTTGATCTCACTTCCCTTTAAACTCTGTTCTAGTTGTAGCCTTCACAGCCTCCTGCAGCAAGGAGTTCCACAGGTTAACTATTTGCTTTGTCAAGAACAACTTTCTCTTACTAGTTTCAAGCCTGCTACCCATTCCTTTCCTTTGGTGTCCTCTAGTCCTTCTTTATGGGAACTCAGGAAGAACTTTTCTGAATGCACCCTCTCCACCCAACCCCTGCTTTTAGAGACCTCTATCCTGTCCCCCCTCCGTCTCCTCTTTTCTAAGCTGAACAGTCCCAGTCTCTGTAGCCTCTCTTCATCTGGGACCTGTTCCCAACCCCTGATCATGTTAGTTGCCCTCCCCTCTCCCAGCCTTTCTCTTCCCCTCTCCCACCTCCTTTTCCCAGTCTCCCCCAGTTTTTTTCAATAAAGACAGAGTCAATGTTGGAAGAAACGTTATCTTTATTTTGTACATCAATAAGAAGGGGGGCTAGGGAAGGGTAAGTGGAAGGAGGTGAGGGAGGAATGGGGTACGAGCCCCCGATGGGGAGGACTGGGCTGGCTCTGCGGGCTTCTGGGGGTGGAAGCTCTCCTGCAGCCCCCCAATTACTCCCTCTCCCCAGATGGCAGCCTGCGGCAAGTGCAGCCGGGCTGATGGCCGAGTGGTGTGATGTGCCCAGTGTGGGCACTCAGGGCACTCCAAGCCAGAACTTCTTTGCAAGCGGGGCACCCCTTAGAACTGTGTGTCCGGGGTGGGGGTCGGGACCCTTTAAGCGCAGCCCTCGGCTAGCCTGAGACAGTATCTCCATGCTCTAAGTCCTCCTTTTATGCCCTGCCGGCACTGCTTCCGGCCATCCTTAAGCCCTGTTCAGAGTCCACTCAATGTGGACTTACTAGTTCGAACTAGCAAAACGCTAGTTCGAACTAGTTTTTAGTTCTAGATGCGTTAGTTCGAACTAGCTTAGTTCGAATTAACTAATTCGAACTAAGTTAGTTCGAACTAGCGCTGTAGTGTAGACGTACCCTGAGGGATTTGGGCTTCTCTAGTTTGCAGAAGAGAAGAGTGAGGGGGGATTTCATAGCAGCCTTCAACTACCTGAAGAGGGGTTCTGAAGAGGATGGAGAGGCTGTTCTCAGAAGAGACAGGTGGCAGAACAAGCAGCAATGGTCTCAAGTTGCAGTGGGGGAGGGGAGTCTAGGTTGGATATTAGGAAAAACTTTTTCCATAGGAGGGTGGGGAAGCCCTGGGCTGGGTTCCCTAGGGAGGGGGTGGAATCTCCATCACTAGAGGTTTTTAAGTCCCGGCTTGGGATGATTGAGTTGGGGTTGGTCCTCCTTTGGGCAGGGGGCTGGACTCAATGACTCCTGAGGTCTCTTCCAGCTCTATAGATTCTAAGCGTGGAAAACAAACCCACTCCGCGCTGGAAAAATGAGTAGAGGATGATGCTCACTAGGATGATGCTCTGCTATGCATGTGTGCACGTCCCCTTCCTGCCAAATCTGCCATTACTTTCAATCTGGGCTTTCTACTTTTTAATAACCTTCCTAAACCCTGTAAATCTATTTGCAGCTGCTGATCTCACTCCCAGCCCCACTCTCCCCGACCATGTGGTTGTCTTAGAGGTTACTATATTCTCAATGATGCTTTGTTAGCTGGCAAACAGGGAAGCTAATGCTCGGACAGACAGGCAGGCAGGCAGGCAGGCAGACAGACATCTCCATAACCCACAGTACAAAGGGGATGCAAACATACAGGTGAGATCGTCGCCTTTGGCAGATTATAAGAGTTTTGCAGATATCGTAAGTGGCAGACCTGGCACAACCCCTGGCCTTTCTAGAACACAGACTTTCATAAAGGGTCCCCCAAATCCCACAGCATCACACAGGTGTCTGTCACTGCACCCCCCGACTTGCAGCCCAAGGAAACGGACACGCGACCCCTGATGCCCTGGGAGAGCCTGGGAAGGGCAAGGAGAGGTGACATCGCTCCGTAGGGCAGAGAATGACTCTGTCTGGGCCACAGAAAGGCCTGGTTAGGACACGTAGCTCAGCTCCTGGACCAACAATGCCCCTGGCCAGATGTTCTCTGCTGGACATGGGCAGGGAATTCTCCTTCCCCTGCCCCTGGGGACCAGCTCTTCCCCAGCCATTATCTCAGCTCCAAGCTCCATGTGCCAAGCCGGGGCTGGGTGACAGGGGCAGGAAGGGGGCATTGCAATGGCTGATGGGAGATCAGGCAAGAGAAGTGGAGAACCCGCAGAGTCAGGGGGCCAAGTGCCATTGAAGCAGCCCCATAACCAAGGAGAGGTGGCCTCCAGGGGTGTCCCCCAGTGGCCGTGCATCGCCCCTCCTGCGAGGGGGGAGGACTCGTCGGGGGAGGGGTGGGGCGAATGGCCGAGCTGCTCTGGACTCACCGTGTCGACGCTGAGCTCGGCCTCAGGCTTCATGAGCAGCACGCTGCGATCCACGGCGCGGACGGCGCACAGGGACCCGGGGGCAGCCTGCACCTGCAGCTGGAGCTCCGAGCCCGGCAGGGCCCGGTCCTGCGAGAAGGCCAGCTTCACCTGGCGAGGCACAGGGCATCAAGAGGGAGGGGAGAGAGAGACAGCTCACCCAGGAGCAGGGGGAAACAGGCAGGGGCAGGGCCACGACCTACAGGCACCGAGTGTCACTCTGGCCCAAGGCGCACTGGCTGTGGGGGCTTTGGGAGTCGGTGCTAGGGGTGGGGTTGGGGCGTTGATGCACCCAGTAAGATGGACAGGGGAGGGGGGGCAGAAGGGACCAGGGAGGGGAGGGCCCAGGGCAGCGAGTGACGCCCTGCCCAGGGCTCCAGTTACGGGGCAGGAGCGGTTCCCCCAAAACCCCTCGGCCCCGAATCCCAGGCTCACCTTGTTGGGGAGGCACTTGGCCACGTGCAGCAGGGCACTGTCGGCAGCCATCTCTCCATTGGGCAGCACCGTGTAACCCAGCACCTTGGCAGCCGCGG